GAAAGACTAAATGTGTCCAACGGCATTAATTAGTCGAATTAATTAGACGAATTAGTCGAATGCCACCATTGCATCTTTATTGAAGCCACGTAGATGGCGCTGTGGGATTAGCGTTAACTTGGCTCAACACTGCGCGAAGAAGAAGCCAATGGGGAAGGCGGAACATCTCATTTAAAAACAGCCGCGTCTTTGTTTTCGTTATTTTAACCTTATGCAGTGATTACGGTACCACGAACAACTATTTTACGTTATTGCTGTTAGACATACACAGTTAGTTGGCCTGATCAGAGCGGTACATGTAAGTGCTGGTACAAGTAACGTAACGCATTGTAAAATGTTGCCTGTTTATTAGGAGAGACTGTTATTGGCAAGTCATAGCACAGAACTAACGTATTATCTTTCTCCTTTTAAGTAACAAGCTTCTCCTGTGCAGTCAAATCAGTCCCTGTCTTCATCCTTTGACTCCAGCGACTAGTGACAGGATACACTCATTATTGAAGAAGGGTCTTCCAGTAAACGAATGAGACTAGATGATGGAGCTAAAAGGTGGGCAATACGTTTTTATTACTTATGCATTTGGGGGACTGTTGAAACGCATAAATCTACTTAAAAATACAACATTAATTTGATCTTTATAAGGTTAAAGTTTACAAGAATATGTAAAATGAAGTATTGTTTGAAGTAGTATTTTATTGTTTATATACCATATTTATGTTTTTGCTTTGATACTTTTTATTTTTTTTTAAATTACAGTATTATTAAGCTGGTCTGATTGATTCTCAAGGAAAAACGGTCAATATCCTGACAGATGACATTAAAGAAAATAATAGGTAATATTTCATATAAATAACTGTATATGTGATAACTGTGTGTGTGTGTGTATATATATATATATATATATATTATTATTATTATTTTTATATTTCAAAAAATTATTTATTTTTGCAGTACATCACCACCAAGGAAGGTGAACGAAAACTATGCCAGAGGAATTGTGCCTTTGTTTCCGTACCTCAGTGTCCCCTTCTTCAAAAATGGCTATGTAAGTATCGCACTGTTTTTGTTTTAGTTTTAATGCATTGTTGACAACTTTTAAATGTTTTGATCACATGCCCATAATATAGGTGGTGTATTTTTCTCTTGGATTTTAAAACACTTTTTCTTCTCCTTTTTCTGTATTTTTGTCTTTCTAAGGAGCATTACTATGATGTTAGTAATAATGCCACCGGATACTTGCTATGGAGAATCAAAACTATACAGAGAGGCATTTCTAACGAGGAATATAATTTGAAGGTACAAAATGAAAAGAGAAATGTCATTGTGCCACTTTTCACAGCAGTTTTGTAGCTACTGAGTTGCATTAACTGTGACTAAGGATTAACTTCATATAGCATTCTTTAAGCAGTGTTGATGATCTTAAAATGTTTGTTGTTTGTGTCTTGTCAAGGCCAGAAGAGACCAGGAAAGGTGTCTACGTTTTTTTTCCAGAGTGGAACAAGCATTGAGGAGCATCTTCAAGGCATTGCTGGAAGTGCTCAGCCCTGTCTCCTGGCTCTTGGAAGAATTATTCAGTTCACCAGTACTTCAATTTTGATCAGCATGCCATTCCATGCAAGTCAGTCTCTTCTCTCGATGCTTTTGACAAACTGTTTAATGGGGTTAATTTACCCAAATTCTGTCAACATTTACTCACCCTCATGTCGTTCCAAACCTGTAAGACTTTCGTTCATCTTCAAAACACCAATGAAGATATTTTAATGAAATCTGAGAGATTTCTGTCCCTACATTGACAGTCCACGCAACTAGCACATTCAAGGCACAGAAAGGTAGTAATGACATTCATTAAAGTAATCCATGTGACTCCACTGGTTTAACCTCAATTTTATGCATGCATTCATACGACGTCTGCTTTCATTTCAACAAAACATTCATCCATTGTCGTGCTCTCGTGTACGCTTGTCAGTGATGAATATTTTCATAAAGTGGTAAATTATTATTTTTTTCTTTGCGCAAACAAAGCACTCGTGTTGCTTAATAAAACTGAAGTTAAATCACCAGAGTCACACGGGTTAATTTAATGATGTCTTTAACACCTTTCTGGGCCTTGAAAGTTTTAGTTGTATAGGCTGTCAATGAAAGGATAAAAGTCTGCCAGATTTCATTAAAAATATTTTTATTTGTGTTCCGAAAATGAACAAAAGTCTTATAGAAATGGAACGACATAAGGTTGAGTAATTAACGATAATTCTGTTTTTTGGTGAACAAACTTCTTAAGGCACACTTTGTTTTTGGCACCACTTATAACACTATTCTACACAAGATGTACATTTTCATTCAGACCACTGTACAACAAAGATGTTGGCAAAGTGAAGGTCCTTGTATCGCTGAGGTTAAGAGCAAGGCTGCTTAGCTAGTAGGTTCAACAGGTTCTGTACTGAATATAATGATGTATTGTCATTTCATGCAGACGTGATGTATTTTTGTGCATGTATGTGTATGTTTCTTGAGCCTGACAACATTTTTTAATAAATGTTTTAAATGTGACGTCGTTGATCTTGTTTTCTATTCTGTTTTTAAAACACCAAATGGGTTTTAAAATTAGATAATTTTTCACTATTATAAATGTAAATGAACTCTACATAAGTGAAATATTAACACTAATCAGAGTAAATTTTCCTGCAGAGTTAAATTGTGGTAACACAGAACAGAGTTAATTTCCCCTAGTGTTAAACTCTGGTAACACTATTCAGTGTTGAGCAGTGTTAATTTTTTACTCAAAATAGAGTTAATTTAACTCTGAAAATTTAACACTATGACAAGAGTCAATTTATCACCAATTCTGAGTGGGACCAAATACACTCGGGCCGAGTGTTAAATTCAACTCTTATAGAGTTCATTTAACACTGCAAAATTTACTGTGTAGGAACTATTTGGTGGAATGGCCCTTAACCATGATTTTCTCTGAAAGTTTTGACTCACTCATGAAGACTGTTGGTGTGGATCAAATACCATGCGAGTCTATAATTTATTTATATAGCAGATTGGCTATTTCAAAGTAAAACAAGTCCACTCACCTTATACTGTAGACGCACGAAGTAATTTCCCCGTATTATTTCCTTACTCTCGTCGCTTCAAGCTCCAGTCCAGCGGGTGGCGCTAAACACATGCGTTTGTTTGCCAAACACCATTAAACCTCAGAGGAAGAAGTTCAGTTTCACTCCGCTCTCTATTGTTTTGTCGTGATGTTGGCTTAATACAAACTGTTAGAAATGTTGTTTCTGTAAATAGAGAAATACAGTTTTTGAATCAGGTCAATAAATACCCGTAATATTCCTGTCCTCACAGTCGTGACTAAGTTTTGAAGCAAGCAGGAATATCTGGAGGAGTATCATCTGAACTCAGAGCGCTGCAGAATAAAACAGGAGCAACCAGAACCCTGCAGAATAAAACAGGAGAAACCAGAACCCTGGAGAATAAAACAGGAGGAACCAGAACCCTGGAGAATAAAACTCTAGGAACCAGAACCCTGCAGAATAAAACACGAGGAACAAGGAGGTTGGTGTTTATTCTTCATTCATCTTTAACGACTATTTGTGGTACATCCACAGATCGTTTATGTAATAATAAGACAAAATCAGAGCGTGTGAGACTGAATTTGTTTTTACGCTAGTACTGTAGAAGCCACATTTTAAGTAAAGTCGCTATAGGACTGTGGTTACTTTAAATCGTGTGAATGTCTCAGTAGAGCATTATTTGCTTGTTCGTTACATTTCACTGTAAATCAGTAACAGTTTTGCAGCAGGCTTTGCAAACGTACTTTTACTGTAAGATATATGTGACCCTGGAGCACAAAAGCAGTCATAAGTAGCACAGGTATATTTGTAGCAATAGCCAAAAATCATTAGGATATTAAGTAAAGATCATGTTCCATGAAGATATTTTGTAAATTTCCTACCGTAA